TCGTTGTATTATATTCCGAGAACATGAACTGATCAAGGTGTTATTTTCTGTTTCTTTCTCACTCAAAGCAGAGAACTTTACTAATGACAAGGTGTTTTATAAGCTTCGCCGGAGCCAAGACCTGGCGCTACAGATTCGCCTTCACCAAAGCCGGGCTCCGGTCCTCCTTCACTGACCTCAAAGATGGCACCATCATGCACTGCTGGGTGCCCGCGAACCGAAAAGAGTCCAAACAGGATCTTCTGCTGATTCACGGGCTGGGCGCCAATGCATTGTGGAACTGGGGCGACCTGGTGCCCCTCCTGACTCCTCACTTCAACGTGTACGTACCGGATCTCCTCTTCTTTGGAGAGTCGTTCACAACTCGAGAGGAGCGGACAGAGTCGTTCCAGGCGCAGTGCGTGATGCGGGTAATGGAGGCCCACTCGGTGAGGAGGCTAAGCCTTGTCGGGCTGAGCTATGGTGGATTCGTCGGCTACAGCATGGCAGCACAATTTAGGGAGGCGGTGGAGAGGGTGGTGATATGCTGCGCCGCGGTGTGCATGGAAGAGAAGGACTTGAGGGAAGAGACTTTCAAAGTGTCTGATGTGGAGGAGGCTGCCCGCATTTTGGTGCCACAGACTACTGATAAACTCAAAGAGTTGCTGGCTTACACTTTCTTTCGACCCCCACCTCTCGGACTGCTGCCTTCTTGCTTGCTCAATGATTTAATTGATGTAAGACATTTAACACAACACATGCTGTCTACTTTATCCACTATTGCATGTATATATCCTTACTGGCCTAGCAAGAACCTCGATGCTATATTTACAAGAAATTTAATGGGTACATATTTAAACCAATTCGTATGAGATTTTGACGTTTTTCAAACAAATGTTCTTGCGTCTTAGTCACTACGTCTGTTGGTTATATGGACAGGAATTCTGCAGTGAGTACGTAGACGAGAAAAGAGAGTTGGTCCGAGCTATCCCAAAAGATAGAAAGTTGGAGGATCTTCCAAAGATCACTCAGGTTTCAGGAATTCTTTTCTCTTTGTTTTCTCTAGATTTATTTACAGATTTTCCTCATAAACAAATTATTATAATGATTTTTTTGAGGCAGCCAACGCTGATCTTATGGGGAGAACATGATCAAGTTTTTCCTGTAGAGTTCGCCTACAGGTTAAAGAGGTTGGTAAATTTAATCTAATGCTTCATTTGAAATTGAAATTTGACAATCTAAAATGGGCATTACTTGGGATTGAAATACAGGCATTTGGGAGATAACGCTCATCTAACGCTCATCAAGAAGGCCGGCCATGCCTTCAATGTCGAGAAGCCCAATGAATATTACAAGCTTTTGAAGCATTTCCTAGTTGATTTGCAGCAGCCTCCTACTGCGAGTTGCGAGCCCCCATCCAAACCATAAATCATCTTCTTTTGGAAATCCATTTTTATCCACCTCTTTTTCTGGCGCCATCTTTTGTTGTTAGAGAAATTTAACTTGTTTCACGAGTTATTCATCAACTAATCGACCCTTCCTCTATTTTAATTCTGCAATGGTTAAATAATACTGTCCAACATAAATAATTGCTGTATAATATTAATAATCTACTACCCATTGTAATGAACATTCATTACCACAAAAATGTCAACAAATTCTAAGCAGATAACTCAAAGACATTATATACACTTGGAATTATACAATTTCCGTAAGTTTTAGCTGCTGTCCAGGCCATCAAAGAAAATCAATAAGAAAAAGTTGATCGTCCTTCATTAGAGAATACTTATTCAGTAATTTTAAGAACTAATGAAGTTAGTAAGCCTTTTTTTTTTTATGCCTTTCCTAAATTTCCTTAAAACAAGCAGTAGAGCCAATAGAGAATAAAGCAATCTAGCTAGGCCAAGTTAGTTTGAAAGAAGTGAAGTGCTTAATCTATTAAGTTATCTTTATGCGAGAAGAGGCTCTGTCCCATTGAGGTCTTTCCCTAGGAAGTCAAAATCTCATGGGTAGATCTAACTATGGCCATAAAGTACCAAACTATGCTCGAGGGCTATCTTTTTTATATATAGATTGTGAGTGGAGGCCCTATCCTCTTGTGTGCTAAATTTTTTATGAGTATTAAGTTCCCGTCAGGGATCAATATGGTACCTTCTCAATCTTGTAATGATTGAATACCCATAATATGACTTGAAAGAATATTTTGGTTAACCAATATCTGGAATCTGGAAATTAACAGACATGCATATGATCAAATACACAAAAAGAAGCATATAACGAATCTGAATTCAGTCTCAAATATTTTAGTTTTCAGCAGAAAACAAAAAGAAAAAATCAATGGCATAACAGAAACAGATGATGATTATAATAGTAGCTGATTCAATTATGTCCGGAACAAGAGAAAACAGGGATACTGGTACTGAGGAAACATTGCTAAACAAATAAATACAGGCAACTGGTCACAAACCCATCCTATTACTAAAAACCAGGTCACAAATCCATCCGACCACTACAACAAAGGTCGCCCTCTGGCAGGCTCTCCAAAGCCAGTCCTAAAAGATTGCTCTTGTTTTACACCAATCAACTCTGCAAAATTCAATGCCAGTTAATCTTTATGATTTATGCTAAAACTATCTTTGGCCAAAAGTTTGTAAACAATAAAAAAGGAAAAGGAAAGGAAAAAGAAAATTCATTTTTAAAGTAAAATAAATTGAATGTTTTTTTTTTTTTTTTTTGTTTAGATAGCTAAAAGAGTGAAAAGGTAGAGAAAAGAAATTACTGTTCTAATATTTTGTTTGGTTTAGTATTGTAAAGGAAATAAATTTTGTTAATATGCATCTAAGGATACAATGGAAAGATTTGTTTTAAAAGTTTTTAAGTCCTTTTCTTTTTCTTTCATTTTCTTTCCTTACTTTTTCCCATTTTGGAGGAATGGAAAAGTTAGTTCTAGGCAAAGTGGAGGAGATGTTTGCCATCCCTTCCCTCTGTTTACTAATTTGTATTCTTTATCCAAACAAATAAAAAGTTGGTGAACATTCCCGCAATTCAAACATAGTCTAAAAGACGGGTAAATTATCCAGCAAGTTAAAGTTGATACATACCCAAAAAGAATTAATAAAAACTAATAAAAATAACATTCTAGTCATTTTTCTTTTCTTCTGTGGGCCAAGGGGAAGGGGGAAGGGGGAAAGGGGGTAGTGTGTGTGATTTGTCAATGTCCAACAATAGAACCACAAAAATTTTTGTCCAACTAAACAAAAAATGAAAGACATATTTAACTTCTTACCTCGGCTTGAAGTTCATCACCTTTAGATTGTTCCCCTACAAAACCAGATGAATTTTGAAAGAAAGAATGCATCAGCGGCTATAACCATTAAATTATGCAAATTACAGAAAGAAAGCCAGCAAGAAATTGCAGGAGGCGTCCAGCCCACTTCAGGGTTTTTCACTTAGTGGGCGCTTGGGACAGCTGTAACTTATGTTGTGAGTTTCAAAAATACTGTTAAAATAGTTATTTACTAAAAACAATTTTTTTTAAAGGTTGTTTGGTGTTTATAGTATAAATAGGTCTATAAATCGCTACTACTTTGAAAAAGTAAATCTTGTATGTTTGGTGAAAATGGTTTTTGAGATTTCAAGTATAAATTTTTAGTAAAAGCCAAAACTATTTTCCAAAAGTAACACATTGTAACTTTTGTATTTAATCTTGTCAAAGGCATATTTTAGTTTTAACTTTTGCCAAAAGCACTTTGAAATTTTACCTGTTTGGTTGCAAAAAGTAAAGACACAAAAACCAAACCCAAAAACCAGCCAAACAGGGCTTTTGTTATAGAACATAAAGCTAAACCAGTTAATGGGGGCAATGTAATGCTAAGCTAAATTGCATATACATTCAAGTTTCACATAGAATAACATCTCCATAGCACATATAAAACTCCACTTTTATGGGTCCATCGTAGATCAGAAGACAAACACTCTTCTTTACTTTTAGATTTGAAAATACAAATTATTTGTTATTGGCTATTTTAGCAATGGAATTCTTTCAAGTTTACTCGTCTCGG